TTGTTTTTTGTGGAACAGCTTTCCAGTGAGTTGATGGTATCACACTAACTAATAATATCTTGAATGGCTGGCAACTAACCATCACTAAATAAGCTTTGCAATTTTTTGGTTCCTATTTAATAGCTATTCCCTGCTTTGGGCTACAGAGAAGCTTGTTCATTCTACTTAAAGTTCTGCCTTATTTTATTGTTTAGTATTTATTTTTGTAGTAGCTTTGACCCCTACTCTCTCTCATACCAAAAGAGAATCAGAAAAGAGCCAAGACTGTTGAGATAACCTGTAAGCTTTTTATTTTCACATTTGTGAGATTCAAGAGGAAGAAGAACAAAATTGGACTTGTATGATTGCAGACATTTTTATGATTATAACTTGACTCCAAATAAGGTGCTTTTTCTCCCTTTCATGTGTTATGGGTCCTACCTATGCACCCCATTGCAGGTTGTCTGATTGTGGGGATGAGAGAATAGATCTATCTTATTTTTTTTAATTATTTTTTATGTTTTGTTTGTTTGGCAGATAACCTTTCAATAAATGTCATCTCTGTGTACCTGCTTTTAAGAGACCAGACAAGATAATCAATGAAAAATACTTGAATAGACAAAACAATTATAAAATCAAATATATTAAAAACAGGTTCAATTTCAATTAATATCAGATCTTCCACTAGCTAATAAAATTTGAAATGGGAAAAGTTACTGTTTGGTGAACAGTAGGTGGGATAACAGTGACCCTTGTCACCTGGCTTGTGTTCCCCTCTCAGGAAAATAGAGCTTAAGAGCCAGGTACTGCTCCATGTGGAATGCCTCCTCTTTCAGCTGAAGTGTCTCAGCGCAATTGAAGTACTGTCAGGATCATATTAAAATATGGTTCGGGCTCGAATACATCTCTACAATTAAAACTACATGAACCGCTTGTTTTAACATATTAAGTGTAATGGGTGTCTTAATGCACGCTTTTTCATTGGTGGTGGTGAGAGCCCGTGGACTAATTTTTCTAAGAGTTGGTTTTGTGGAGAAGTGCAATAGCTGGCTCAGAGTTTAAGCTGGCTTCTGACCTACTTACAGCTCAGGACTTCAGCCTCACATGATGTATCTGCTTGAGAAAATGAGTATCAAAGACACATTGTAGGAAAAAAATTGTCCCCTGTCTTGTGTAACATGCCATTGATTAAGTAAAAACCTACAAAAGAACAAACACATGAAGGGAGAGAAGCTTGCTTAAGCTCTTTCTGCTTTTTGTTTGCAGAATGTGGGTGTGAATCGTTCAAGAGAAGAAGCCTTGATGACAGTACCTAATCATCTATAGCCCTTATTGCTTGTGACAACATCTCTTTACTGCTAGTGAAGCACCAAGGACATACTGTAGCTCAGGTATGGAGTGGATAGGACACTGAAGTCAAGCAACCTTAAATGTGGACACTCCTCCATTGTAAGGCTCTTCAGATGCGATTCAGCTTTCTATAGGAAAAATGCATAAATCTGGAGAAGTCCTAATGCTGAAATGAAATGTACGAGATGACATTGTAAATATTTATGGGAAATGCAGTGAAGTTGTTTTAAAATTTTTGTTTATAAATATGTGCAGTTTTTCCGTGTTTTTATTCTTTACCTGTGGATTATGCAAGGTACTTAATTGCTCTTATCAATTTACTGTAAAGTTTTAATGGGACTTTTACTTTTTCTGATTTTTTAAGCGTTCCATGTGAATGACTGCCTAGTAGTAGATATTTTTGTAGTGTGTGTGTAATAATTTTTAAATGTATGTGAAAATATTAATTGAATGCATCAAAGGCTCTATTTGAGACCCCACAACTGGAAATGGGAGGCATGGTAGAGAAGTTTGTGAAGTATCCTTTTTATTGTCTGTTTCCATGTTTGATTTTTAGCTCAAGTTGTTTGCAAGCTAATCTGTATATGTTTTGAAATAGAAATCCTTTGTCTGTTGCTGGGAAAATGTAGCTGTTTATTAGTTTGATAGGCTGCGCTGTAACAGTATTTTTTAAAAACGTTTTCCATTGACCTGTGACACTTTGGATCATCAGTGGGGGGAGAATTATTACATAACTGATTGCAGTGGAATGTAAATATAATGTTCATCATAATATTTTTAATTATCCTAGAAACATATTATGAAGAGTAGGCTTAAAAGATATTCTTTCCAGCATCTGTACTGTGTAAGATAACATGCTTTTTCTGAAAGAAAGCAAAGCTTGCAAATTCAGGGTGAAATAAATCTTTTTGGCCCACAAAAAAACTCTGTGCACCACTTAACCTGCTAGATGTGTAAACTGCATGATTGGGGGCCTTTTCTTTGGAGTGAATTACCCTAACAATATAAAATATCTTTTGAGAGGATAAATAAAGAGAGGATAAGTGTTAAAAAATTTAAACTTCCTGAGATTTGTGTAAGAATGAAATCTGCATTTGGAAAACTTACTTTTTCACACGGAAACTTTTACATTTGCATAGCTAAACCCTTTCCCCTTTTGTGAAATTTGATACTAAAAAGTGGAAGACTTATCTGTATATGTTGAAGCTACTTACTATCTTTCATTGTACCTAGCCTAATCTATATAGACAAGTATGATCCAAGTAATTATATATAATATAGGCTAAGTCTAGTAAAAGCTGTAATACTCCCTGCAAATAAATATATGCATGTATATTAATGGCAGATAGAAGGATAGAAGTTAGCTGGCAGCAAGGCAGGTGTCTCCTACTTGAAATGACAGAGACATTTCCTTTGGATATTGGAATACTTTTGTTGTTTGCATCAATAAGTAACCAAGCTCCTTCCTTATTACTATTCATAGGTTTAATTTCTATATAGAGGGTTGGTGTTTTGCAGGCAAGTTTGTTTTGTTTTTGTCTGTACAGGGTGGGAGCTTCTAATGCAATGTGCTGCTGCTGTGCTTTGTCTTTAGCTAATTTCAGTGACATGTCCAGTGCCCTGGAAGCAAGCCATATAACTAGATTTCATTACAAAAAATAGGGTATTAAATTATCAAAAATTACTTGCTTGAAGCTTTTAGTGTCAAAACTTTTGTCTGTACTTCATTAAGCCAGTAATCTGCATTTAAAGTATGTATTTAGGGATGATTAGTAATGATTCTGAGATGAGCCCCAAGCAGTACTAAGAACAGTTTATCTACTGAGACCTAGTAAGACAGGTCTTAGAGATGCTTCTGTTGGAGGGGAAAGATAAAATAGCAGAAGGGAAACCACCTCACAGTATATTTATTTAGCAATTCAGGCTTTTGCTTCAGATGCCCCTTTTCTGCACCGGGCCCAGAGTCTAGGCTAAAGATTCATTTTTTAGTAATGCTGAATTGAGGCAGTCCAGCCTATATCCTTGGTTATTTAAGGCATATTTCATACTGTTGTTTTCTTGATGTGCTTTGGAAAGCAGAGTCTTACTATGAGAATTCAAACTACTATAGTTCTTGAACTTGGACCTGGTAGAAGAAATGTGGTTATATAAAGGAAAAGTTAACCTACATGATGACTGAGCCACAAAGCCACTCTCTTCACTGGGAAATATAACAGGTTCTCATCCTCAATATTTTTGCAGCCAGAAGGAAGAGGGTGTTTTTACTTTAGTTTTTAATCTCTCTAAACTTTCAGAGGTGCTGTAAAATTCTTTAAAGCTAAATGTTTTATGTATAGTAGGTATTTTTATAGATTGTCTTTGAATATATTGTGATAAGAAGGGTTTACAGGATGGATAAGTAAGTTAAAAAAAGTATACAACTTTAAATTGTATGTTGATACTTGAAAATGAAAAGAATGTGAAACTGTCATTTTTACTTTAGCTAACAAATAACTTATTGACTGCATCTGGCCTTCCTAATTCAGAAGTGGTTGTCAAATGGCCAAAGAATGTAAAATACACCAGCCTTTCCCTTTAATAAGTTCTGTAAAATTTACTTATTGCTATCTGATAATATCCTCATCTTTTTTGAGCATTATACAATTGAATATCATCCATAAGTGAGATAACGAATTACAACCTTGTATGTTTTGCTCTTTATGCCTTTTATTACATTTTAACTGTTATAATGCACTTGCTAGTTCCAGTGCAGTTCTTGGATGGAATTAAATTATTCTTTCTTATATGGTTGGCCTTCAGCTTAATCTCATGTTATCTTTGACCCAAATAATAAAAATCAGGTATTAGAACATCAATATATTTGTGCCTCTCTTCTTGTCTCCTTAGAAAGTAATTTGATGTGAGAGTTGCATAATATCTCCATAGGTCAATACTTGGAATTTCTCAATGTTGGAAGGCTGTGATACATTTTGTGAATACAGGAGCCCCTCACCATTCATGGGGGATACGTTCTGGAGATCCCCGCAAATGGTGCAATCCATGAATACTGACTAGGTTCCCCGTCAGACCCCACACAGCTGCCCCCTGCTCCCCTCTCCCCCGTGAGAAGCTGGAAGCGTGGGGCTCCCCTGCAGCTCCTGGGGACTGACAACAGTTGCCTCCGGGGGAGCAGATGCCACCACCACCGCTGCCTCCCTCCCTCCCTCCCTCCCTGTCCCTGGTGCACGCTCTCCGCCCGCCCGGCTCTGCTCTTTGCGCCGCTCTCCCTGGCTCTGCCCTCCCCTGCCCCATGCAGCGCTCTGTGCCTGGCTTACACAGAGGCAAGAGCTCGGTGCAGCACCAGAGGAAGCCACGGTGCCATGTTGACTATGGCAACATGCCTGTGCAGTTGGTGCGGTGCACTGCAAATATTCAAATCCGTGAATACCGGATTTGCTAATAGCAAGGGTTTCCTGCAGTAGCCCGGATGAAGAGAAGTGGGAGTTAAAGATAACTCAAGATTATGATCACCACATTTTCATAAACTGTAGCAGTATAATGAGGGGCAGGTGA